GAATGCAACACAGCTGAGGTGCAGAGCCCACAGGATAGAGAGAGCAGAGGAGAGAAAGACGGAGGAGAGGCAGCGGCCGCCGAGCGGCCCTGACACTAACTTTTTTATTTTTATTTTTATCTTACAAATACTGAGAGCAAAAAAAGGGGGCTTCTCCAGGCTGAGAGCAGGACCTTTATATAAGCCAACTTTACTTTTTTTATGTTGACATAGCCTGTGTGTACAGTAAACTTACTTGTGTCACAAAGTGTTTTGTTAATGTTTTGGAATGGGAGGATAAATGTCAAACCTAAAATAAGAGACTACTGTAAACTGTAGTTTAAAAATCCTCACCATATAACAATGGCAACAATTCTAAGAACGGCCTCATTCAGACTCTGGCAGAAGTTCACCAAGGCGCTGCCATTTGGCCCCATTCTTCCCAGCATTATACCTGTGAAAACACAAAGCCCTATCTTTAAATAATGATAGAAAGCATTTTAATTTGTGGTTATTAATATTAAATTTGAGGCCAAGAAACACAAAAAGAATCCAGAGAAGAATAATTTTTACCCATAGTGGCTGAAAAAATAACAATCCCAAGGACATTCATTCCATCGCTTGTTCCTTCCTGAGTTTGTATGAGCACATCGGGGGCTGGAGTCAGGTCAAGGGCGAAGTTCTGGATGTCAGTTCTATTATCATCCTGAATACTGTAGATGAGCACTCGGCGTGTGGTGGACTCTGATTGGGTCTGACTTACCACAGGCTTGGGCTTCACAGTGTATTCACTACTGGTTCGATACTGATACCAGGGAATAGAAACAGAATAAGACAAAAAGTTAATAAACAAAAAGCTGAGCCTTGTGTTTCAATGTACTGTGTGTGACGTCATAGCTCTTACCTGCTGATATGTGGCCTGGACCAGATTGGAAGGGAACATGTTGCTGCAAGACAAAAATACACACTTATCACAGTATATTACATTAGAATTTCCACCTGGCAGTCAAGTTGTCGTTTACAAGCCTGTCTGTCCAGACTCATTAAATATATGTAGTGAAAACTTTGAAAGAATTTAATAAAAGACTTTACATGCACTGTATTTGTTGACAAATGGAAGTTTTCACTTTATCGACATGTATGATTCGAGTGACTAATTTCCAGTGAGAAACATGTTGTCTTCACATGCAGACTATTTTTACAGAGGAGAACAGAGGACTGACAGAAAGCTTTGTCACTTCATCCTTGAATCACATTGGATTATTGCACCAAATTTGAACAAATACCTTCAAGACATTCCTGTGATATTGTGTTCACAAGAATGGGACAGACATGAGGTCCCTGACCTTTGACCACCAAAACTGAATTCAGGTCAGTTTTATTTAAACAGCACCAAATCACAACAAAAATAATCACCAGACCGATACATAGTAAGGTCAAGACCTTAAAGTGTTATAGAGGAAAAACAAATCAGTTCATCTTTGAATTCAAGTGGACGTTTGTGCCAAAGCTGAAGAAATTCCCTCAAGGCGTTCTTTTGTCTTATTTTTCCCTATTAAACCTTTTTTCGAACTAGCACCTGGGTCGGCTACCTTGAGTCCTACCCCTAGTTCTCCCTCACCCTCCTGGCGAGGGGGGCTAACCATAACAGAATATTGGGATTGGCCTCCCATGCTTTTAGTAAAAACATTTACTCAAAGCTTTAATGCCAAACTAAAGTCATCTCAGATGACTTTAACCTAATCCAAATATCTTTAGTTGCCCAGCCCAAACTTAAACTTTTATACCATACAACTATGGGGTTGCTTTCCAAAGCATCATTTTAAAACCTAAACTCGTCTCACAGGGCACTGCTGTTTGGATGGAGACGTGCAAAATAAGAGATCAGGTCTCAGGTTTAATGTCACAAACAGAATAATTTATCTCTGCTCCAGTCTCTATCGAACTGACCCTTAATTGAACACCTGTACAGACTAAAAACTGATTTGGACATTAAGTTGTGGTAACTCAGAATGAAGGTATAAGAGGTCCTCAGGAAAACTCAGTATGTATAACTGAACAGCTAAACTATAAAAACTGTATTTTTAAAAAACAAAACAAATAAATGGTAAAATGGTAAATGGACTGTATTTTATATAGCGCTTTCTCACAGTGTGTTGCACTGGCCAAAGCGCTTTACAGAAGATCATACACCATTCACCCATTCACACACAACATTCACACACCGATGACGACAGGCTGCCATGCACCGGCGCTAGTCAAGCCACCAAATACCACAATGATTCTCTTACAAATTAAAAGTTAAATGTATAAGTAATAAACCTGTCTTCCTCAGTTGGGTACACTGACTTTTGCTTCTTGAGATAAATGTAACTAACTCACATGACCGAGTTAATTCACATTAACTTTTGTCTATTTGCATTAAAGTTACTGAACATTGTATAACAGTAATGTTCTAGCATACCCTGTTTCTAAAATATGAGTTAACTGCCATCTTAACCGTATCTTAATTAGAGCCTAATACATTAGATTTCATAAATGCAGACTGGCTAAATTATGAAATATAACATTATTAAAGCAAAATCCTGTCTTTGACCTTAATCAGACAAACTGTGCTAACACAGGAACATACTTGAAATATGAGTCTAAAAGTTTTGCATTGCCTTGTGTCCTTGTTGAAGAACATGACTAAAACTATGACTGAAAACATCATGACAACAAAACAGCTCTGCCTTTAATCCAGTACAGTCTTTGTGTCCTTTTGAATGTTTAAAAACCCGACATCATAGCCATTTGAAATTCTAATTGTGTTTTACATGAAGTGCTTGATTTCATGCTAACTAGGACACTTATCAGCCCAGTTGCATTGAGTGTGGTGAGTTGGTATGTCTTAGGAAACAGCCAGCTATACCAAAGGTAGAGTACAATAAATCTAAGACATAATTATAGTATGAGAACATTTGCCCTGCATACTGAGTTACATAGTGTATCACTTTTATGCCTGAAAGAATTTTATAGAAAAGTGCTAAGGATGTGCAATGAGAAGAAAGGAAACACAGCACAACACAGCAGGAAAGAGCGTGTGTACTGGACTTCGTTCATCATCTGGACAGCAACACAACTCCTGGTCTGTTGGATGTGATGAAACAAGCAACTGTTTGCTGACATATTTGCCATATCAGCTGCATGCAGTGAAAATATTAACAGCCTGTTAATACAGGTTTGTGGAAAAAGGCCACTGTGCCAAACATTTACTACAACTATTATTGCTTTTGATGAACTCAGCATTCCAATTACACTCGGAGCAAACAAGCATTTTTGAACCAGTCTGAGTGTTAGGCATTCTTTAGGTGACCTGCTGATCCATTCAGCCTGTCTACCCAGCTTTGCGCTGTGTGATTAATGGCCTGAACTTGGACTCAGCCCCACTGTTCCACCAACAGTATGAAATAAAATGCCTGGATTAGACAAACAAACACATAGGTCGTATGACAGGTTACTGTTAATATTGTTACTGTTTGCTTTCTCACACTGAGTCTAAGAACCTGAAGAAATTTCACTCTGGTACAGAGGCTCAGACAATCTGTTTATAAATATATATACATATATGAATGTACTGTATGTGTATGTGTATGTACAGCAGGTTTTTAATCTTGTCTCTGGATATGTGCCAAATCCAGACAGTCTGAATGACATCTGCTCTAAGAAGTACTTACTCTTATTCTTGTAAGAAGTACTTACATTATGAACTGATGTTATGTGAGCATGGGAAGTACTTACTCATTATGAACTGATGTTATGTGAGCATGAGAATGATGTGTGAGACGGACAGTGTAGCAGTACTGGCTGCTAGAACGGGGTGCTATGTTGTACTCTCCATTCAACAAAGCTAAGATAAGCCCCATAGGAAAAATACAGTTCCTCTGCAGTAATGAGAATATACACTCAGTTGAGTTAGCTGAAATGAATGCAGTCTACCACAGTAAAACTGTAATAATTTCTTCATTAAGTGTTCCGTTTTTGCTTGTTCTAACTGTATAGTCATCTGGTGGCTCACTGCGGCCCTTCCATACTCCTCTTAGGCTGAGCAACTGCATATCATGTGTTCCATTTTGACCGTATTGCCTCTGTCTGGCGGTCTTACCGGATGAGGTCTAGCAGAGCATCAGCAGAACTCATGATAGGCTTCCCACTGCCCTCGGAGTCTTCTTTCTGGGCTGCACCACCCGGGTGGATGATGGAGGCCATGATGATCCCCACTATCACAGCCACAAAGGTGGTCCAGAGGTAATAAGACACTGTGATCAGACCGAGGCGACTGGAACATTTGGCGTCAAGGGCAGCCAGTCCTGACATCAAACTGGAAGAGGAAACATTCATGTCAAACACAAATGGAATTGGTCCTCCGGCAGTATATGGTTCATTTAATTATTTTTATACTGTCATTACTGCAGTTCAAACATTAAAAATTCTTTCTTTTAATTGACTACTAATTCCTTTCCTATGCTTCCTAAACCTCCAAAGTGTGCATTTTTGAAAATGCATTTAGAAAGGCATTTATGAGGCTAAAATACTGGACAACATTACCAGCCTGTATAGAAGTATCCTTCATTTAATTTCTCATAGTTTTCTTCAGCTGTTGGCATTTGAATAGAATTGCAAATGCTCCGTTATCCTCTCTGTAAGCATATGCTGAGATTACTTTCCAAACTGTTTCCATGGTCAACAACAACCTTGGTAATTGCAGTAGCTCTCACTTGTTTGCTGTTATGAAACTGTCACAAATTGTATTCATTTAAATTTTTATTTTTGTTTTTATTCATTCATTCGTGTTTTTCAGTACAGCTGCTATTAAGATTTTTGTTGAATATCAAATTTAACTTTAAAATAAATAAATATCCCAACAAGGCCATACATGTCATAATTTGAAGGATAAGGTCATTTGTATGGTGGCCCTGAGGGCTCAGTGCACTGCAATTTGAGAAAGCACATGCAAATAAACATAACACTAGCAAATTAAAAAAAAACACTCTCACCAATTTCATAACAAATGCGCAGTGATTAGAAAACATGGCAAATACAGAAAAAATGCAATCAAATGCACAAATGTGCTGTAAATACTGAAACCACACCCAAATACACAACACAGGGGTGGTAAAGAATGACAGACACAGCCAGGTCATGTTGGTTAAAGCCATTTGTGACTAATGATGCTCAGCCTGATCCACAACTGTGGGTATTTTATACTGCACTGTGATACCTGGGTATTTATATTGCTCTGTTGTGCAGCTCATTGGCATTTTATATTGTTAACACACCCTGTGCTGTATTATTTTAATTTAATTTAATTTCTTTATTCTGCCTCATGTCTCATTGTAATTCTGTTTTGTTGTTAGGATGACCCTGTTCTGTAAGGCTTGTTTAAAAGGCATCATCCAAATTAAATGTATAATTATTATTGTTGTTGTTGTTGTTGTTATTCAAGTCGACGCTCCGTTAGTAGTGTTGGTGAGATGTAGCCTCATTCAGGTGATGAGGTTTCCCAGCCAGTACTTTCACCAAAAGGTTCAGCTCATAAAGCCTCATTTAGGAGAAAATTGACTGAAAAATGCTGGAACTGTGTTCCCCTGCCAAGATCTTCCCCCCCTATTTAAACTGTTTTCCTTTCTCCAAATTTTCTCCTTATGAACAACTGCGCTTGGTGCTGGATAAAAGCTACTCACACTTTGTCAGTGTGCACAATTTGATCAGCCCTAAACGACACAAACTGTGGGCATTTTGGGATGTGATAGTGCTGTCTACGTACAGTAGCAATTCACTTCCTCCCTCCATCTGCAGTTCGCGTCAGAGCAACATAGTGAGGTGACGACAAATGCAAACAACCTGCTGCTTGGCAATTAAATTCTAGGGGTTCTTGTTACTGCCAGTCTGCCCCTGTCCAAAGCTGATCAGTGTTGTTTCAGGTTTAGTTACAGCTTGCTGTCATAAAGCTGACATCCTTTTAAGAGGACAGTTAGATGAAAAATAATTGGTCGATATCAGACTAGTCCAGCACCCTCACATAACTCTGGGCGGAAGCTGAGCATCCAGGTCCATTTCTTTAGCAGGAGGCTAAGGAAATGGCACAATGTTATATTTCAGCATTATTACAGTCATTCACACCTCAAGGTGCTAAAATCATAATAAATATGATAAATAAACCTGTCACATCCCAGGGATGTATCTCTTTTTTTATATCATATCCCACTCTTGAATCTCCTAATTAAACCATTTCTTCTACTATAAGATTGCTGTTCTTTTCAACGTGAGCTGGTTCTAATGACATGGAGGAGACTGACATCAGTACCTGGACACAACAAGTGGAAGAATCAGCATCTTCAGCATCCTCATCAGTAGCTCTCCAGGAAACTGGAAGTACTTCACCTCCTGTCAGGAAGAGAGAGGAAGAACTGAAGGTAATTTGAGGAAGACCATTAGACAGCTTGTAGATAAGAATTTGATGTTTAAAGTATAATGAACAGGAACAAGGTATTGTGAGGATGCCAGGAGCACTGCCAGAGCTGTGGACAAGAACGCCAACTGAACATCATGAAACAGAAAGGGAAAAATCTCTCTTTATCTACAGATTTATGATTAAAATGACCCAGGACTTGATAAGAAAATGAGAAAGGCTGAATCATTTCTTGAAGAGTCTTTGTTGAAGTCCAAAGGCACATGCTATTTCCAGTGATGAAAATGAGGCTGGCCTACTTTCTTTCACCTTTCATCTTTACACTGTGACATTTTTTATGAAGGTGAAGGTCAATGCCGAAAAACAATAGCTTTTGAAAACCATCCTCACATGCCAACATGGGTATTGAAAGTGCTGTTGGTGGTTTTAATCGTTCCTCCATTGAGATCTCTTCTTAAAGAGATTTTACTATAAGTGATGGGGAGACAAAATCCACAGTCCTTGAATTTCAAAGTTCAATGCGGAGAAGATCACCAGGACTCCACTGCCCTCTCTACAGAGCATCTACCACCACAGGGTGCGTAGGAAGGCTGCCTCCATCCTCAAGGACCCCACCGACCCCCAGCACAGACTGTTCACCTCCCTGCCCTCTGGCCGGAGGTTCAGAAGTGTGAAATGCAGGACCTCCAGAATGATAAACTCTTTTTTTCCAACTGCCATCAGACTCCTAAACAGCTGACAGGAGTTTACAATCAGGAATTACTTCATGTAATGTTCTCATTCTGTCAGGTTTGCCCGGTGGCACCTTCCTCTCCTCCTTTCCTCACTCCAGTCTGCGTCCTCACTCTGATTGCTCTATCCGATTCACCTGCCCCGCTTCCCTGATTATCCACAGCTGTGCCGCTGCGTTAAAGTGCCTTAGATTTGTGATTTTACTGCCTATTTAGATTTGTGTTATTGCTCATCTACTTTATATTTCACTTGTATTATGTGGCATTCATGTGGACGGCAAAGTAAAAATTTTATTGTAGAGAGAAACATGTTTCCTAACTGTGCATATGACAAATAAACAATTTGACCTTGACCTTTGGCCTTTGTGCCAGCAGGTCATGACCAACAGTAAAGTTTTATATTTAGGTGACTCTTTAGTGAGCGTCGTAACCATGACAACAAAGTAGTTATTTTAAACCAAACCAGGATCATTTCTTAAAACTAGCCATGTTATTCCTAAACATAACCAGCGGTCATATGGGTCATGGTATTGTTACTGCTGGAGCAGTTCTGTGGGTATATGATGCACTGTATTGTAAATTGTATTGAACTTATAATGTAATTAAAATGTAATTACAGGTTGGAGGACTTACTATTTGTTTCTATCCACTGCAGCTCAGTAAGGAAACAGAATCGTTTTATTCTTTTTCTACTTACTATCCAATAGCAAAGTGTGGAAGACACTCACTTGAAAAAAATGTGAACTGATCTTTTTGTCCTGCTTTCACTCAGGAATCGAATTTTACGCACATGTACTTTACATGAACACACAAATTTAAAAAATGAAGAGAAA